GATAATCCGTTCCAAAAAAATCATCGCTATGTGGATTCGTCGCTATACGGGGCAAAAAAGCCCATAGGAATGCATTAAAACACGTTTAATGCGTTCCTATGGGCAAAAAACCTCACAGTTCTGCAGAAATCCTCCATGCGGCCACCATTTTCGCTGCCCGGTAAGCGAGGAAAGGGCACGAAAACACAGCAGGTGGCTATTTTCTTTACCCGGTGGCCATTTTGGAACCGCCGATCAGCTGTTAAAAAAAACATTGCTATGCAAAAATTGGTAAGCGAAACGCTTACTGATCATCGCAAAACAATGTTTTACCATTAGAAACATTGCTATGCGGATTCATCGTTAAACGAATCGCTCATTATGTGGGGCACCACTGTAGTGTCTTTTATATATATATAGAAAAGACACAATGTCACAACAGATATGGCAAACTGGCACCAAGGCTAGTATAAAATATAGGAACAAATCACACTCCAGTTTAACAAGTCTTTAACAGTTTTAAAAAGTTTGTGGAACTAAAGCAATATTTACTTGGCGATGAAACAATTGTATAGGTAAGTAAGTCTTTCTGCATTGATAAATGCAATGCCACCATCAAGAAGGTAGGTGCTTTTCCTCACCAGCATCCACCTCACCTCACTTGGTGGGGGCACCTAGAGAAAAGCCATCAAAGGCTCTCCTCCCCACGGAAAGCAAAGCATCTTCCTCTCTTAACTCACCTCCACAGCCTTATTTGGGCTTCCTTGATTTTGTTTGCTGAGGACATGAGGGAGAGCACCTGATAGGCCTCAGACCTCCCTCATTTAGTTTGGATGAAAAAAAAATCTGGAAAGGGGAACTGTTGCTGGAATTATTGGCAACCTGTTTATGCTGCCTTTAAGAGGTTTTGGCTCAGGGGGGACATCTTCTGGACTGCAGCGACTGTCAATCAATCCAGCATCAACCAACTGTTCCCTCCCTGCCTCAGAATTTTGAAGAGAACCATGGACTCAAGAGTCCTTTCTTTGCTCTTTTAGACAGTTAGAATCTGTCTGTAGTCCATTAGAGTCAGTTGTGGTCAGAATTCTGTTAATCATGTAGTCAGTTATGAAGCTAATTAGTCAGTTAAGCTAACATGCAATGAGTCATTATTTTTCTACAAAACGCTATTTGGTTCGATCTATTCAGAACAGCGAGTAAATGGTACCTTTTTATTCTTTCTCTTACCAGCGTCTCAGAGTGAGGTAAATGAGACAGTAAGTACCAGTTGAAGAGAACTAAGGAATAATAGGAGGTTCACTGTGGGGAGCCTTGAAGCTAATTCTGCTCTGTAGGTCCTTGAATGTTTTCTACTGCATAACTATAGGTTTTTAGGTCATAAAATTCCCTTAACTCTGCCAAGATCTTCTACCCATGGACACTCTTCACACAAGCCAGAACATGGGGAAATCAGGGATCCTACTCTGTGAAATTCCTTCACAGCCAGCACAGATACATTGCTTTTCATGCAACAGGATGATGAGGGATAGCATGAGGACAGCACACACTCCTCATGTCGAATAGACACCATTAAGCATGCCTAACTAGAGTTAATGATTATGTGATACCCCTTTACAGATACGCTGTGAAGGGTAAGATTATCTGTATAAACCAACATTTTCCTCACACACCAAGCAGATCATTCTTAACACCTACATA